TGGTCCAGACTTCTTGACTTCTATGGTTGAGAACGAACCTCAAACTTTTCACGAAGCTGTGACTTCTCCTGAGAGTCCTTTATGGAAAGAAGCGATCAAAAGTGAGATTGACTCCATCTTACAGAACCACACTTGGGAGTTGGTAGATTTACCTCTAGGTTGCAAGCCTTTAGGCTGCAAATGGATTTTTTAAAAGAAAGATGAAGGCCGATGGGTTAATTGACAAGTATAAGGCGAGGCTCGTTATCAAAGGGTACAGGCAACGAGAAGGCCTGGATTACTTTGATACGTGCTCACCTGTAACTAGGATAACATCCATTCGCATGGTGATTGCGATAGTAGCATTGCGTAATCTGGAAATACACCAGATGGATGTAAAGACAGCTTTCTTAAATGGGGATTTGAATGAAGAAATCTACATGGAGCAACCTGAAGGGTTTTCAGCTCTAAGGAAAAGCAAGAAAGTCTGTAAACTTGTCAAATCTTTGTATGGTTTGAAGCAAGCGCCTAAACAATGGTATGAAAAGTTTGACAACTTAATGTTGTCAAATGGGTTTAGAATCAACGAATATGACAAGTGTATTCATGTCAAAGACACTGACAGAGGTTATGTCATTTTGTGTCTATATGTTGATGATATGCTCATTATAGGTAGTAACGATGAAATGATCAAAACTACCAAGAAGTTGTTAAACTCTAAGTTTGACATGAAGGATATGGGCATTGCAAATGTTATTCTGGGAATTAAGATTACCAGAATCTCTGGTGGAATTATACTATCTCAGTCTCATTATGTTGATAAGATACTTGAGAAGTTTAGTGGATCAGATACGAGTGTGTCATCGACACCTGTAGACTTAAGTCTACATTTTACCAAGAATAATAAAGAAAGTGTCTCTCAGTTAGAATATTCTCGGGTAATTGGAAGTTTAATATATCTGATGAGTTGTACTAGGCCAGATATAACTTACTCAGTTAGCAGGCTTAGTAGATACACAAGTAATCCCGATGCTTCTTATTGGAAAGGCATTGTGTGGGTGTTAAGGTATTTACGCTACACTCGAGATTATAGGCTGCATTATACTCGATATCCAGTGGTGCTTGAAGGCTATAGTGATGCAAATTGGATATCAGATATAAAGGACTCAAAGTCCACTAGTGGATATGTGTTCACTCTTGGTGGGGCAGCCGTGTCTTGGAAATCTTCCAAGCAAACGTGTATATCTAGATCAACGATGGAATCAGAGTTTCTTGCTTTAGATAAAGCAACAGAAGAAGCTGAATGGCTACGCCATTTCTTTAAAGATATTCCACGTTGGTCTAAACCTGTGCCAGCTATTTGTATTCATTGTGATAGTCAATCTGCAATTGGTAGGGCACAGAGTAATATGTATTATGGAAAGTCTAGACATATCCGTCGTAGACATAATTCCATACGACAACTACTCTCGAATGGAGTTGTCTCTATAACCTATGTAAAGTCTAAGGACAACATTGCGGATCCGCTAACCAAAGGGTTAAGTCGAGTGTTAGTCGAAACGTCGTCAAGAGGAATGGGGTTGAGGCCTTTGGAAGTTACCGGAATGGAAACCCAACCTAGTTGACTGGAGATCCCAAGATCTAGGTTCAATGGGACAACCTAATTGCGTGTAACGGTGGTATGTCACTGAGGAGGTTAAACCTCCAGCCATTCCTTCTATTAGTGATACCTGCAAGTGTAGAGGTTAAGCTGAGCTTTTAATGACTCTAGTGTGTTAAGCTGTTGAGCTGAGTATAGCAGGATACTCAAGTAGAGTCACCTATGTAAGTTTGAAGTGGAGCTGCTTCTAGAAGAATTGGGCAGGCCAAGATTCTTTGAAACCACTCACCAAACCAGGCTAGTGCCCAGGGCCATACAGGGCACACCAGTGAGAACAGAATGGTGGTAGGAGTAATTCCCGTGTGAGATATATTGTCTCAGTTTACATAAACGGCAGAGCAGTTGTCTTATTCACTGATCAGCCAGTAAACTCGATAGGTTTTCACTGGGAGAGGTTCAAAGCCAAAAGCTACCTTCTCTGATGTCGGGGTTAGTCCGTTGTACTCTCTCTTCGAGTCATTATTGTTGAACGATGTCCATTTGTTGAGTCTTTCGGTCAATTTTTATTCATGTGGGGGATTGTTGGAAAAAAATAGTTTTTTTGGTGACTTTAATTAAATATTAAAGTGGGTCCCAACCATCTATTGTGTTGGGTCCAAGTGGGTCTAGATACTTTGCAATGAGATCTTTACACCACAAATAGTATAACCAAAACCATTGAAAATTGAATAGCTTCATGAAAGAGTTAACGGGGTTTGTAACTTCTGCCTTTATTGCAGAGTTTAATAGTGCATTAATGGGGTTTGTAACTCCTGCCTTTATTGCAGAGTTTAATAGTGTATTAATGGGGTTTGTAACTCCTGCCTTTATTGCAGAGGTTAATGGTGCACTAGTGACCAGCCATAAAGGCTAGAGGCTTCTCTTCTCTCCCCTATACATGTATAAATTGAGACCCTCCTGTCAAGTCTCCAACACAGAAATTGTTTCTTCCATTCTTTAGTCAGTTTGCTAGAAAGTTCCTACTGTGAGAGAGTGCTGCCACTGTTTTTGTTCGCTAAGCTAAACAGAGAGTGCTTCTGCCGTAGCTGGTTTTTGACCGTCGTATCTTGGGAGACAGACATCGGGATTCCTCAAGCACTCGACCCGTGAGGCGGCGAAATCTGTTTTAAGGAACAATTTCTTTATCATTTTATTGTTTTGTGTATTTCTGTTGAAATTTAGTTATAATTATCAGTATATGTTTTGGTATATAATTTTGATTTTTTCATAAATCTATTTAATTAATTTCACAATTTGAACAACAATTCTAGCCATATGTCTTAGGAGACAAGGCTGCTTTACCAGATTGTTGCATGTTCACATGGGTCAATACCATCTTAAAAACAGACTTTTCTTTATTTAATATAAGCTGCACTCTAGTCTCTGACCCTATAATGAGGGGGTAAAATAGTCTATAGTGCCAAAAGATTACGCTAATATTTGTTTGAAAGAAAGGAAGAAGCCATTTTCTTGTATTTGCAAGCTAGCACTGCAGGTTCTTGGAAGAAGATAATGATAGAACAGGCATAAGGCAGAAAGCAATTGACACAAGGAATCACCTAATTATTCTGCTCAAGAATGAAGAACTGAAGTTTCAGAAATCAATAATCAATAGAAGAAGCAATAATAATTGCTTGCATACTCACTGAAATTTCTAATGGATACTCTTGTTTTGGAAAATTGAGAATGGCTAGGACTCTAGTTATATGAGTTGCTGATTTTGAGAGAATCCTTCAAGCTCTGTTTAAAAGTGACAGCATTGCAAATTCATCAAGATTTGGAGGCTTTTGTCATTGTTATGGGCTTATGTTGGTGTCGAGGGCATGGGTATATGCCCTTTGGCTTCATGAGGCATGCTAATTATCCCCAAATTTCTCATTTTTTTCCTTTTGAGTATTGAAGTCAAATTTTGAGAATTTTCCCATGGTGAGTATGTCAAATTGTCATTGGGTGGATTCGTCTATTTGTCAACTGTGAAGCTACTTTCTCACAAACATTATTTAATGGAAATTCCTCGCCCCTCCACACAGTTGCTTTTGTGGTTTTTCCTTTGTGTTTGTAGATGCTCATCTCCATTGTTCTTCCCAAGTAATCTTTCCTCAATTACATTCTTGTTAGCTCATTTGTTGGCCATTTGGAACATGAAAAGATGATTGGTTGTAGTTACTCAAAACTTGGAGTGGAAGAAGGGCGTAGATTCTTGAACAAGGAAAAGGATCCAATTACTTGGAAAGAATTGAACGACGATCTTGTATTACCAAAAACACCAAAATTCTATCTTAAGTTTTTTTTTTGTTTTTGTTTTTTGAAGTCTATATATAGTCTTTAGCACTATTGTTGTTAGGTTTTCATTTTCTGTTGAGGATGGCAATATGTGTGGCGCGGAAAATGCTTCTGGATTTATATCCAGGCCATCTGAATGAAGAATGGGGAATCTAATTCCTCACTCTCTGCAGGTAACCCTGCAAACTGCATTGCTCCTATCAGGTCATCAAATTGGACTAGGTGTTGAGCTCATACATCTCTTTTATGCATATAGTTCAATCTTAGTAGCAATAATTATATACTGTGTATTTTCAAATTTGTTCCAAAACAAGTTCAATAATGTGTGTCAAGTCATATGGTCATAGTCATTATCACTCAAATATTACTATTACTGCATAACATTCATGTGTGATATGGGCATTTCTAGGTGGATAGTCGGAGGTAATACGACATAAAACACCACGTCGTGAGGTAGACATAAATTGAAGGAGTTGTTGGGGAGTTAAAGTAAGGCATCAAGTAGAGAACACATAGGCAAATGTTGTCTGCATCAAAAGCAAAAAACTCTTGTCATGTACGTTTGTTTGGTTCAGGGTTTTCCTTCCAAAAAGTTGAGGGTGTGTTTGGTTGGTTGTAATTATTTAATGTAGATTCTTTGTTTCTGGGGTTTTATGTTTCACTACTAGGGGTTTTCTCTGTATCTCATATCAAATAATTTAACTTACTTAGCAGCAATGGATAAAGAGGTCTTTGCTTGATGCTTTATTTGACTGGAAAATCGGGCTTGTTTAGTATCATTTTCATTTTCTGTTTCTATTTTCTGGAAAATAAAATAAACCTTGTTTGGCCAATTGTTTTTCGAAATCTATTTTCAAGAAAAATTTTCTAAAATGAAGATATTCTTAGGAAGCACCAAAATATTTAAATTTCAAAAAATGTTTTTGCATAAAAATCAAGAATTGTATGAAAACTACAAATGCTTTCGAACTTTCCATTTACGGTTTTCAAAAAACACATAAAAACGAAAACTAACCAAAATAGGCCTGTTCACTTGTCTATTTATCATGTTATTTATAAATTTTTATGCAATTAAAAATTATTATAAACTACCATGAACTGATCAATTGTATCTGAGTGTACATAAATATTACAAAGAATTGATTTCAAGTCCCGATCGAGTTGTAAATGCAAAAATACAAAGAAATAAATTCAATTCGCGATTGTTCAGCTTCCTAAACAGTCCAATACAATTTGACAGTAAAATTCTTGTACAACACAAATAAATTTGTTCCCATTTCCACAAAAAATGGCAAATTCACAAACAAAATTAAAGTTCCTTTGACATTCCATTAGTTTGATTTCAAACTTTTACCTCCGAAAATGATTCTCTCTCAACCTGTCTTAGCTCCCTTCCATATGATAACTGTGCCACCAAAATCAGACGAAGCCAACAAGTTCTCTCCATGGTTCCAAGCAATACCTATAATGGGGTAACCATGTCCCTGCAATCATAAATGTCTTAATAACCATTGGAGAAAAAAAAATAAAACAATAAAAGAAATTGTAAATGTTGTCGACTATTAAAACTCGGTTTGGTAGTGAAAAACGGGCCTGCAGCTTGTTTACACATGCATGCCTTGGCCGAGTTAAGTAATAGAAATAGACGTTTGCGTCCTCACTTCCAGCAACTTCATGCACAAAATAGATCACAATGTCAAGAAGATCAATAATCATAACTATTCCATAAAATTGCGAAAGAAATGAAAATTATGAAATTTCTAAGCAATAAAACTTTGACCAGACAACATCAATTTCAGGCTAAGCTTTCAAATAATCATATATACTGATTATTTTATATCATATAATTTCTTCTCTTGACAAAATTTCAGTTAAAATTTTGAGATTTCTTTTTTGAGACAGGACCATGGCACCCTTCATCTCCCAACCATGAATGAAACATAAACAGATAAAAATCAAGAGGGTAATGAAAACAGAAGCAAGCTCACAGATTTCAGGATTGGTAATATTTCTAAAGTAGAAATTATAGATGGATCTATCAAAACAAACAAGATTAAAATGGGAAAATCTCCCCAAAGCAGGAAAAGCCACATCTATCTTGAGAGATGGCTATCCGAAAACAGCAGTCAGATCCTCTCACAGCTCTTGCATCCCAGGGCTATGTTTCCTCTTGAGCATCTTGTAAAAATGTATTCAAGTGTATACACTTATGCTCAAATTTCTGGTAGGCAGCTATCGAGTTGCAAGTTCTTTAAAGTGAGAGAGAGAGAGAGAGAGAGAGAGAGAGAGATTCAAGTGTTCATTTAATCCAAACATAATGGACAATGACCGAATAAGCAAATTAGTAAGCAGCAGTGGAAATAGATTGGTTCTGTTAGACTCTTTCATGTTTTACTGAAAAGTCTAAAATTGGACCATATGAGAAAAGGGTCCTTCAATGTGAAACAGTTAAGAGAGTAGAAATACTGACTTCAAAATTGACTTACAAACCTATGAATTCTCCTTTTTCAAGGGAAAGCAGAGGGCAGAAGGAAGCTCGAATACTGTGTAGTCGTGGAGCCAATTTTAGTGAGCATCGAAGAGTCAAATAACCTTGTATCTCCAACGAAACACTAAAAAATCCAAAATGCGATTTCCTCATCAATGCTTCACAACTAAGACCTGAGAGAGAGAGAGAGAGAGAGAGAGAGAGAGAGAGAGAGAGAGAGAGTTGCCAATCAAACCTAAAAAAAGATAAAACTTCCATCTTGAGTAAATGTCAGCAACACAGGGCCTCATGCCAGCAGAGAAAAGGTTCTATACTACACAGTTGTGACAGGAGATTTGCGTTTGCTTCCATTCCGATTGTGATGAGACCGGGACAGTACGCCTGTGTGTGAGTTCATAGAAACTGTGTATACACATCCCTGTACAATTTACCAGTTTGGAAAAATTTTAAAACTAGATATCAGAGTTCACCAGATAAATAAGACGACAAAATGAATGTAAAACAAGCAAACCTGAGCATCCCCACAGAAAATAAGCTGACTAGTGTGATCATGGTCCATAGCAGTAACCTCATTGTCGAAGACAGTTTTATTAATTACTCTCCCAGTGCTGAAATTGAACACCTGGAATATCAAATGTAGAAATGCTACCATTGAGACAGGTAGATTGAATAAATACAGTTTATGATGAAAAACTGCCAGAAGCGGCTACTATTAGTATCTCACACACCCCTCCTCAAAACCACACATCCTCATGTGGTGCATAATGTAGCACTTAGTTTTACACAACCCTTTGATCCCACTCATGGGATTCAAGAGGTGGCTCCCACCACGTATGGCCTATAAAGCTAAAGGTAGGTCTTGTTTTTATTTTCACTGGAATGAGATGGATTGGTTCTGGTTCTCTTCTATGTATTGTTCAGTTAAGTGAGCATCTCAGGTGGCCTCATTTCAGGTCATTGGTTGGGGTGTTACGAGGAGGGTATGCATATATAGTATTCTTAATTTTTATGTTTCTACATATAGAGAGGGGGGGTGGACTCTTAATATACCAACAGAAAAACAGAAGAGAAAAATAAAAAAAAAGTTAAAAATCTAAGGCTCTGTTTGGTTGTGCTCTGTAATCAATTTTCTACCCGTGTGTTGGAGCATGATGTTTGGTTTCGTTTTCAAATCAATTTTCTACACTCTGCAGAGAGAACTCTGATGCACAGGCGCCTTTTTTGTCCACCCGGATGACCACCCGGTAGACCACCCGGATGTCCGGCTGGTTCCAGATTTTTTTTTTTTTTTTTGCAATTGATTTATATAATCGGGACAAATATTTTCTGAAAATTTTTAAATTTTTTATGTGCTTTAAAATAATTTTGAATTGTATGTTTAGTTATGAGTTGTAAATTTTTGTATCACATATCAAATGTCACATCAATAATTTCCCACTCAAATCAAACCTCTTTTCCAAAACTATTTTCAAAACTCTTTACCAAACAAATTTTCTACACTCAAATCATAATTCCACAACACACAAACTCAAAATACAACTCATACTCTCAAATCACATTTACAAAACACAACCAAACGCTACCTAAGTTTCACTTAAATGACAGTCCAGAAACTATCATGCAATTTTCATAAAGATGTGGTGTGCAAATATTACAGTGATTTCTTTGTTTGGATTGCCAACGGAAAGGAAGTTGTTATTCACCTGCACAAAATATGACAGAGGGAAAGCAAAAATTAATGACCAATTTAGTGAAACAGATATACAAAAATGAATAAATTTTTTAATAAAAGCATTAAATCCAGATATGGTCTAAATTTTACTTGATTTAAAAAATTAACAAGTATACTTTCATAAAGAAAATGACATATAGCCTTTCAGGGGAAAAAGATATAGGAGAAATTAAAATTGTTGGAAATAAGCTATTTTAGTAACTTTTTGACTTTTTACGAAAAGATATGCAAAAAAATAGAAACAGTGATGTGACAACTTATAGTTACTTTTTGGCTCTTTGGCTAAAACTGCAGGCTGCCAAACAAGGATTTGAGGAAAAAACTTGGAAGTCAAAAAATAGCTAAAATTGTTTAGAATTTTTAAGACAATTCAAGGATTTACATAGATGTCAAAGAAGATATTTAAATGCAGCAGTTAAACTGTTTTAAATGAGGAAGATCATGTGTGCTAGTGTTTACTTACAGGATGGAATCGAATACAAAGTTGAGGAGAGACTCCATAAATCACCCGAATGCAAAGGCCTTTGGATATCTCCCATATTCTCACAGTTTTATCCATTGAAGATGATGCAATGTATTGATTGTTCGATGTGAAGTCAAAATCTGAAAAGGACTAGCATTAGGACACAAACAATAAGAATGGTGATAGTAAAATAGTTCTAATAAAAATGAGAAGCCTTGTATAAATAATTTGACACGTCTGGTCAACCAGTTGGGTTGATTTCGTTCCATCCACAAATTGGTCATTTTGGTTCTAGGTCCAAATATTAGGAACCAACCAAGTTCTATTTAGTTGTCAGTTTGTCTCTAACCCGAATCGAACAGACTGATGTACACCCCTAATAAAACATTTCTTTGAGTTAAATCATTATCTTGCCATATGAGTAGATATACGTCCTCAAACATACTTAGCATGCAATAATTAGGCAATATTTTTCCGTGATATCTATTTGTTTGTTATTTATTTCCTCATATTTGCGAGACTTTTCATGTTGTTTGTTTCTCAACTTGTTTTAGATGCTTCGATTGTATCCATAATTTGAGGAGCCAAAAACTCTACCCGTGTAACAAAACTTTAAACATGATCGTACATAGTATCATCTGATCTTTCCCTATATATATGTGCCCAAGGTTAGATTAGTTTGGATTGATTTAGAGGAAATGTCTAAAAACTCTTGTCACCACATTCTATAAGTTGCAGATAGGCTCAATTTTATATTGCCAATTTTATACCATAAGGCATAAGGTCAAACTTAACTACTATTTTTTTTTTCCTCTAGATTTTTCAAATAAACTAGCAAACTTTAGTTGGCAACAGCAAAGTGACAAAAGGAACACAAGAAAGGGATGAGACCTAGCACTCACATGTATAATACATTTCACCAAACATCATTAGAGTATTTAAGGTAATTTACATTATTTGTACTTGAAAATTACATTAAATCGACATATTTCAAATAAAAGTTAAAGAAGAAGTAGGACTACAAAATAGGAACAGCATAGTGTAAATGTCTAAAATAGGTTAGATTAGGTTGGATTTATTTAGTGGAAATGCCTAAAAACTCTTGTTACCACATTCTATAAGTTGTTGATATGCTCAATTTTATATCGCCAATTTTATACCGTAAGGCATGATTTTATACCACATTCTATAAGTTGTAGATAGGCTCAAACTTAACTACTAATTTTTTTATTTTTATTTATTTATTTATTTATTTTTCTCTAGATTTTTCAAATAAACAAGCAAACTTTAGTTGGCAACAACAAAGGGATACAAGGAACACAAGAAAGGGATGAGACCTAGCACTCCCATGTATAATACATTTCACCATACATCATTAGAGTATTTAGGGTAATTTACATTATTTGTACTTGAAAATTACATTAAATTGACATATTTCAAATAAAAGTTAAAAGAAGAAGTAAGGCTGCAAAATAGGAACAGCATAGTGTAACTACAGAACAGAAAACAGTGCTTAGACCTAGTACTCCTATTGTCTAGTGTTTCACCAAGATCACATAAGTATCTAAGGATAATTTTATTGAACACAACAATCAAGAAGTTATAATAGATATATTACAGAAACTTGGCTAAGAGCAAACTACAGATACAGCAAACATCAGCATAAAAATTAACAAAAGCCTATAGAATCAATACCAGTTAATCCAACCTGTGACATCTTTTGAATGCCCTATTAACTGGTTGAGAACTGCAGGTGGATCAGAGACAGTGCATACAGTGAAGGTACCATCTGATGCGCCATATGCAAGTAGATCAGAACTCATTTGCCCAAACTTCACAACCGTAACTGAAAACAAAACTACAAGGTTAATCACTGTGATGTGACAAAGAAACATGCTACTATATGAAAAATGATGGAAAATGGACATGAAAACAATCTAGAAAGTTACCCATGGCCTTGCATTGGTCAAAGATGCAATGCATCATTACAAAGGAATATCTAGGTTCAACTTTTCTACGTGGGTGATCACCATCACTTGCATTTGAGGCTTTTGAGCTGAAACTTGGACTATGACTCAAAGCTTGACTGCCACTTCGTCGGTCCTGTGAAGAAAGTGAACATGTGACATATTACAATTACATGGAAACAAAATTAGAACAAAACTGTCTTGAGCTGTTGTGTTCATTCGTCTGCTCCATCAATGTTTGCTTCTCAAATCCTCCTACAGTACCTTCCTATTCAAAAATCCCTAAAACATCATTCAAATGCAAGCCAAAACTCTTTCTTCCCAACAACCTTCAAAACCTCCTCAAGGACCACCTTAAAGTTAAGGGCAATCATTTACGAAAACTCTTTGTTTAAGCACTCTTTCACTAAATCCGAAGATGGGTATTTGTGCTATGAGGGTCTTAGGGTTGAGGATGTGATGAACAATTTGAAAAAGAGTCCTTTTTATCTCTATAGTAAGTCGGAATTTCATATCTTCGGGGATCGGGGACGGAAAGTATAATCCCCGACCCCACCTCAGCCGGTTGTCGTTCCTAACCTAAACAGCAAGTACGGCAAGTGCCTCTCTCATTTTTTGAAATTACACTTTTATCTCTAATTAATTTTTTTTTTCTTTTTCATTTTTTAATTTTCAAATATATTCCAAAATGTTTATATCTCACATTTCTTTTTCCTTTCTTTTTAATAAATTTCTTATAATTTATCATTATACATGTTTAATTTTATTAAAATATTCTCTTATAATTATTTATATCTCTCTTATTTCTCTCTTGTTTTTCTCTACATCTATCTTTTTCTTTTTATCTTTTTATGCATGTTATTATATTTTAAATTGTGATTATCATCATATTTAGTAACTAAAATAGCAAATAAAAAAGTATCGATTAATTAAACCATATTTGAGGCACATAATTTTGACATCACGTTAATTTTTTATCATTCTATTATAAAATAAAAAAAATAGATTGAATTAAACTTTATAATTGATAACCTTAAGAATTGATGATACCCACATGAATCAAAATTCTCGCTCCTGTTCAAAAACCCTAACAGTTGACTCAAACTCACATATTCGAAAGTATGTTCAATAGGAATTTCTCTACAGTAAGCATAATAAAAAATCATCAGTCTCAAGTGCTCCAAAATTTTGAGATTGTTGTTGGCTTTAATAGCATATCCAATAATCGAATCCAAACCCTCAAAAGCATCCCTTTAAGCCTCAAAATTTCTGATACCTTATTGGCTTCAAACCCTTTTGCTCATTTGGAACATTTTCATCATCAAACAATGAGCTCTCTCTCTCTCTCACCAAATAGAGCCTTGTTTTTTGGTTCATTGGTTTTCTTTCCCTCACCAAAATGACGTCGTTTTGAAGTCAACCCCCCGTTCCACCAAATCACCCATAAATCCTAGGTTTAAAAGTCTCACTTTGCTACCTACCGACATTCTCTCAGTCAAGTTCGTTCATCTGCTCCATCAATGTTTGCTTCTCAAATCCTCCTACAGTACCTTTCTATTCTAAAATCCCGAAAACATCATTCAAATACAAGCCAAAGCTCCTTCTTCCCAACAACCTTCAAACCCTCCTCAAGGACCACCTTAGAGCTAAGGGTAATCCTTTAGGAAAACTCTTTGTTTAAGCACTGTTTCACCAAATCCATTCTCTCAGTCAAGTTTGTTCGTCTGCTCCATCAATGTTTGCTTATCAAATCCTCTTGCAGTACCTTCCTATTCCAAAATCCCTAAAACATCATTCAAATGCAAGCCAAAACTCCTTCTTCCCAACAACCTTCAAACCCTCCTCAAGGACTACCTTAAAGGTAAGGCCAATATTTTACGAAAACTCTTTGTTTAAGCACTGTTTCACAAAATCCATTCTCTTAGTCAAGTTCGTTCTTCTGCTCCATCAATGTTTGCCTCTCAAATCCTCCTGCAGTACCTTCCTATTCCAAAATTCCTAAAACTTCATTCAAATGCAAGCCAAAACTCCTTCTTCCTAAGAACCTTCAAACCCTCCTCAAGGACCACCTTAAAGCTAAGGGCAATCCTTTACGAAAACTCTTTGTTTAAGCATTGTTTCACCAAATCCGAAGATGGGTATTTGTGTTGTGAGGGTCTTAGGGTTGAGGATGTGATGAACAATGTGAAAAAGAGTCCTTTTTATCTCTACAATAAGACCCAAATCACTAGAAACTTCCAAGCTTATAAAGATGCTTTGGAGGGTTTGGATTCGATCATTAGATATACGATTAAAGCCAACAACAATCTTAAGATTTTGGAGTACTTGAGCAAGTTGGGATGTGGGGCTGTGTTGGTCAGTGGCAATGAGCTTCGCTTGGCTCTTTATGCTGGGTTCGATCCCATAAGGTGTGTTAATTGACTCTACCCTGTTTTCTTGTAATGTGAGTTTTTAGTTTCAATATAGCAGTTTCTTTGATCTATAGAACGTGTTTGGGTATTTCCCCAATTCACACTTAATTAATGAAATTTGTTTTTAATACAATTTTGTCATAGAATAAAAATGGATAAATTCCACTTTATCTACTTTATATTTGGTTACTTTATCATTTTAACCTTTGAAGTTTATTTTTTCTTCACTTTTGCCCTTCTCAAGTTTTTTTCAGTTTACTTCTAAAGTTAATTTCTGTTAAAAATCAAACAAAAAATTGACACATCAACAATTATGTAACATAAAAATATTTTATTATATATAATACACATCTCTAATATAAACTTCTAATATAGTGATATATTTTTTTATGTTATGTGGCAGTTATTATAATATTTTCTATCTAATTTGAATAGAAATTAGTTTTAGGAACGAACTGGGAAAAATTTGAAAGATAAAAGGGTCAAAGCAAGGTTCTGAAAAGTGGTGGCGGTGGCACGGTTGCGGGGTGTAAAGGTCGTAGTGTAACGGTATACTTATGAATTTGGTTATATAATATTATAAGTGTGTTTGTTTTGAGGGATTATTTCATGGGGTTGGATTATTAGTCCATTCGGACTAATAGTCCATTGTTTGGTTCAATTTTTTTACTCCGGATTAATAGTGCCTTCGTACTATTAGAGCATGTTTGTTTTGAGGGATAAGAGGGTGGGATTGGACTATTAGTCCCACCGGACTAATAGTCCATGGTTTGTTTGAAAAATTTTACTCCGGACTATTAGTTCCACAAACATGGGACTATCATATCCCATGGGGGGTGTAGGATAGAAACCATGGGATTGGTATCCCATGAGATTATTTTGTGAAATGTTCATTTTACCCTCCATGCTATTACTTAGTGAACAATTAGAAAAGAGTAAAATAGTCTTTTGAACATTTATAAATTATTTTTTTAGTGTTGTTAATTTAAAACTATATATTAAATAAAAAATTTAAATTATAAATTATAAATTAAATTTAATTAAAAATAATAAATTATAAATTATGGCCTTATAAATTAAATTTTTTTAGTGTTGTTAAAAAATTAAATTTACATATTAAATTAAATTATTTTTTTAGTGTTGTTAATTTAAAACTATATATTAAATAAAAAATTTAAATTATAAATTATAAATTAAATTTAATTAAAAATAATAAATTATAAATTATGGCCTTATAAATTAAATTTTTTTAGTGTTGTTAAAAAAATAAATTTACATATTAAATTAAATTAATTTTTTTGTGTTGTTAATTTAAAATTATATATTAAATAAAAAAGTTTAATTATAAATGATAAATTATAAATTAAATTTAATTAAAAATAATAAATTATAAATTATGGCCTTATAAATTAAATTTTTTTAGTGTTGTTAAAAAAATAAATTTACATATTAAATTAAATTAATTTTTTTGTGTTGTTAATTTAAAATTATATATTAAATAAAAATGTTTAATTATAAATGATAAATTATAAATTAAATTTAATTAAAAATAATAAATTATAAATTATGGCCTTATAAATTAAATTTTTTTAGTGTTGTTGAAAATTTAATTTATATATTAAATAAAATTATTTTTTTATTGTCGTTATTTAAAATTATATATTAAATAAAAATATAAAATATAAAATATAAATTTAATTTAATTGAAAATAATAAATTAAAAATTGTGGCCTTATAAATTAAAAATTTTTAGGCCAAGTTTGGCTACTACAAAATAATCCATCTTTTTATCTTTTTTTCATCACATCACCTCTCTACTTTTCTGCACATCTTTTCATAAAAAGACAAAAAG